CAGGACACACCCAAGGGGAAACATGCTGAGACACATAGTAATCAAACTGGCAAAAGTTAAAGACAAAGAAAAATTATTGAAAGCAGCAAGGGAAAAATGACAAAATCATACAAGGGAACTCCCATAAGGTTAACAGCTGATTTCTCAGCAGAAGCTCTACAAGCCAGAAGGGGGTGGCATGATATACTTAAAGTGATGAAAGGGAAGAACTTACAACCAAGATTACTCTACCTGGCAAAGGATCTCATTCAGATTCGATGGAGAAATCAAAAGCTTTACAGACAAGCAAATGCTAAGAGAATTCAGCACCACCAAATCAGCTCTACAACAAATGCTCAAGGAACTTCTTTAAGTGGGAAGCACAAGAGAAGAAAAGGACCTACAAAAACAAACCCAAAACAATTAAGAAAATGGCCATAGGAACATACATATCGATAATTACCTTAAACGTGAATGGATTAAATGCTCCAACCAAAAGACACAGGCTTGCTGAATGGACACAAAAACAAGACCCATATATATGCTGTCTACAAGAGACCCATTTCAGACCTAGGGACACATACATTCTGAAAGTGAGGGGATGGAAAAAGATATTCCATGCAAATGGAAATCAAAAGAAAGCTGGAGTAGCAATACTTATATCAGATAAAATAGACTTTAAAATAAAGAATGTTACAAGAGACAAGGAAGGACACTACATAATGATCAAGGGATCAATCCAAGAAGAAGATATAACAATTATAAATATATGCACCCAACATAGGAGCACCTCAATACATAAGGCAACTGCTAACAGCTCTAAAAGAGGAAATGGACAGTAACACAATAATAGTGGGGGACTTTAACACTTCACTTACACCAATGGACAGATCATCCAAAATGAAAATAAATAAGGAAACAGAAGCTTTAAATGACACAAAAGACCAGATAGATTTAATTAATATTTATAGGACAGTCCATCCAAAAACAGCATGTTACACTTTCTTCTCAAGTGCGCATGGAACATTCTCCAGGATAGATCACATCTTGGGTCACAAATCAAGCCTCAGTAAATTTAAACCATATCAAGCATCTTTTCTGACCACAACACAGTGAGATTAGAAGTGAATTACAGGGAAAAAAACGTAAAAAACACAAAAACATGGAGGCTAAACAATACGTTATTAAATAACCAAGAGATCACTGAAGAAATCAAAGAGGAAATCAAAAAATACCTAGAGACAAATGATAATGAAAACACGACGATCCAAAACCTATGGGATGCAGCAAAAGCAGTTCTAAGAGGGAAGTTTATAGCTATACAAGCCTACCTCAAGAAACAAGAAAAATCTCAAATAAACAATCTAACCTTACACCTAAAGGAACTAGAGAAAGAAGAACAAACAAAACCCAAAGTTAGCAGAAGGAAAGAAATCATAAACATCAGAGCAGAAATAAATGAAATAGAAACAAAGAAAACAATAGAAAAGATCAATAAACTAAAGATATAAGCATTGCCAGATAAAATACAAGATGTCTAGCTAAATTTGAATTTCAGATAAACAACATTTTTTAAGCATAAGTATGTCCCATGAAATCTTTTTTTTTTTTAATATTTGTTTATTTGGCTGCACCAGGTCTTAGTTGCAGCATAAGGGATCTAGATCCCTGACCAGGGATTGAACCCGGGACCCCTGCATTGGGAGCACGGAGTCTTAACCACTGGACCACCAGGGAAGTCCCCCATGAAATCGTTAAATAAATTATTTTTGTTTACCTGAAATTCAAATGTAACTAGACATCCTGTATTTTCATTTGCTAAATCTGGAAACCCTAAAAGGAGTACATATTGTCTGATTTCATTTACATGAAACCTAGAAAAAGGGAAACTAATCTATGATATCAGAAAACAGATTAGTGGCCACTTGGGGCCAGAGGGAACTTTGGGGAATAAAATTGCTCTGGACCTTAATTATAGTGCTGGTACATGGATGTATACATTTAGAAGAAACCAAATCAATGTATGCTGAGAATGGGAAATTTTATTATATGTAAATTTAACCTCAACGCAATTGATTGTTTAGACTATTGGACCTTCCCAAAGCTGACTTCTTGACTTCCGCGTAGATGAAAACATCTCATCCTTCGTATTCTATTTGCTGGGAATCCCTTTCATATATTTCTTTCCCATATTGGTGTTTTGAGCCTTATAGGTCTGCTGTTTTCTCTTACTTTCAAATGAGGCAATTTTGGTGCTTGGTTTAGGAAATTTCAGCTGTCCCAAACTGCTGGTAAAAGAAATCTCAGCAAGGTAAGAAGGAGAAAAAGCTGTGTCATCTCTGACAGCGATAGAAAAGTGGGTATGATCACCAGGGCCTTTGCAGATGCCATTTCCACTCTCTGGAACATTGCTCCCTCCCTCTTTGCCTATTGAAAACACCTGTCAGACTTCAGATCTCACCCTGAGTGTCACTTCCTCAGCAAACCTCCAGCCATGACACCATTTCCTTTGTTGCAATACTCAGCAAGTGTTTCTTCAGAACACTTAGCCCCATTTGTAAATAAACACATTTGTTGTCAGTGTATTTGTTTCATGTCTGTCTCTCTCAGTACTCAGTGTTTCCTGGAGGCAGGGACCGAGTTTATGTGTGTTTACCCTATTCTCCCCAACATGCAGCCCAGTGTCTGGCACACAGCAGATGTTTGACACATAGTCAGTGAAGGTTGAACCAAAGAGGCTGCTTCCCATGTGTATCAGTCAGCCATTGCCGCCAAACAAACCACCCCAAAACTTAGAGGCTTAAAACAACAACCATGTCTTCTCTCATGATTCTATGGGCAGTTGTGAAGGTTGGGCTGGGCTCCGCTACAATCCCTACTGACCCTGGGCATCTGGGGAACTACTCACACCTTAGAGCTTGGGATTCTATGGACCACCAACCCCACACACATACATACATGCATTGGGAGAATAAGTGGGGAGGACACATATTTTTTATGTTGGCTTATAAAAAGGAAAAACCTTACTCACTATTACATCCACCACCAGTTCCTAAGAAAAGGACAATTGGAGCTCCCTAATGTAGGGAGGAGTAGGCTGAGTTCTCTTCCTGAGGTGGGGCAGGGGGCTGGGATACTAGAAAGGACAGATGAGGGGAATTGAAACAGTACAGCAAAATGATATCTCTGGAGCCCCTCTCTTCCTTAGCCCCCCCCCCCCACAAGCTCCCAGCCCCCAGGGCCTATCAGAACCCACATCTAATAACCCTTCATGGGCTCTGATATTGATCTCTGGGGCCACCACAGCTCATGCTCAAGACTCTTACCTGGACCTTATCTGCTCCAAACTCATTGGGCATATTCTGGCCATATGCCCCCGACTCTAACATGGGCTCAAGGCTGGTGACTTCCCAGGACAGACAGAGGAGACAGACAGAGCTCTCTCAGCCTGACCCCTGCCCTCGGACACAGCAAACGGTGACACGGGACTAGGATTTGGAGGGAAGGGCCTCAGGGAGCTCAGAGGATGGAGGTTTGAGAGCAAGGACAGTTGACATGCAGCAGGGGTATATGAAGAGCAGGAGGTGGCAAAAGAGGTTAAGGTTCTGGAACACTTCCTCCGAGTGAAGAACTTTCTCATGCCTCTCATGTCTGCTCCACCAAGGAAGAGATAGTTGACTATTTTCATCACTGCTGTACCCCCAGTGCTTAGAGTGTGTGACATACACTATGGGCTCAATGCATATTAGCCAATCATTTGTCAATTATTTATTTAGTGCTTACTATGTGCTAGGGGCTCTTGAATGATTCACCTCTGTGGAGCTCAGAGTCTAGTGGAGGAGACAGATGAGAATCAGATAATCCAACAAACTCGGTTCTAATTGCTACTGATCACTATCTCTTAATAGATGAGAAGCTTCTGCAAGAGAGTCTGCTTCAGTCAAGGTGGTCAGGGAAGGCTTTGGGGGAGGGGGGGGGAGATTTTTGCTGAGATCTAAAGAAAGAATAAACTTTTAAAAAGTAGAGGGAAAGGAAGGATGTTCCGGACAGGAGGAACAGTATGTACAAATGCTCGGAGGTGGGAGGGAACACGGTGAATTTCGGTAAGGGAAACAAGAGCAGGGAAGCTGCAATGTAGTGAATGAGAGAGAATTCTGGAGGGGTTGGCAGGGGCCCCACCATGCATGCCTCAGAAGCTGTGTCAAAGACACTGGTCTTTATCCCAAGAGCGATGAGGACCCACAACAGTTTTTCAGTTGGACTTTTGAAGGATCATTCTGGCTTCAGTATGAAAAATGTCTTGTGGGGGTGAAAGTATAGGAGCAGGAAGATGAGTAGTAGATGGGAGATGCTGGGCGCTTGGACAGAGGGGCTGGGGAGACAGGGAGAAGTGCACAAACACAAGAGGCTTTTTGGAGGCAAAATCAACCAGGCTTTGTGATGAATTGGAGGTGGGGGAAGAGAGAGAGGTGTTCAAGGATTCTAGACCCCTATCTCAGGTGAGCAAACTGAGGCTCAGAGAAGGAAATTTCTTTGCCCAAGATCACACAGCCAGCATCTCAACTAGAATTTCAACCTATGACTGTCCCATGTCTAAGCTCACATGCTTTCTCCAGCACTAGATGTCTCTTCTCTCTCCACACTAACCCTTGGTGCACACAGGCTCAAGGCTGTAAATAACATTTAAATTCTAATGATGCCCACATGTCTCTAGCTGGAAAATCTCTCCTGTAATCTCACTGCCAATATCTAACTGCCTATTTAGGTGTCTAACAGGAAAACTCAAACTCAATGTGTCCAACATTCAACTCCTGGTCTTACCCCAAACCTGTCCTCCCCGCCACTGTCTTCCCCATCAGTTTATGGAGCTCCAAATTCCAGCTGTTCAACCATCTGTGGTCACCTCTGACTCTGCTATTCCTCTCACTCTGCACATCCAGCCCATTAGCAAATCTGGTCAGCTCTGCCTTCAAGATGCCTCCGGGATCTGTTTCTTACTGCCTCCTCTGATATCTATTACCATGATCCCAGTTACCATCATTGTTCACCTGGATTTTTGCAGAAACCTCGTCAACGGGCCTCCTGCTTCCATCCCAGCCCCCTTCAGCCTAGTTTCAACCCAGAAGCTGCGGTGATTGTTAAAATCTAAGTGAGAACCTGTCCCTCCTCTTGTCAAGAGTCTCTTGTGGCTCTTACCCCATTCAGAGTAAAATCTGGGGGAGTCCTCACTGTGGCCCACAAGATGCTGCATGAACTGACCCCATCCCCTGTCTCATCTCACCTCCAACCCTTCTCCCCATTGCTCACTGACCTTCTCGCTGTTCCTTGGACATAGTAGCCATGGGCCTACCTTAGGGTCTTTGCACAGCTATTACTGCTATCTGCAATACTCTTCCTCCAGATATTCATATGGCTTTCTCCCTCACCCCCTTCAAATCTTTGCTCAAATGTCACAGCATTGTTCTTCTGCATGTAATGTGTCATATTTCTCTGGCTGCTTTCAAGATTGTTTATTTTTGGATTTCAACAGTTTGATTATGGTGTGCCTGGGAGTGATTTTCTTTTATTTATTTTGCTTGGAGTTTATTGAAATTCTTGGATCTGTAAGTTACTGTCTTTCAACAAATTTAGTAAATTGCCAGCCATCATTTCTGCAAATATGTTTCTGTCCCATTCTCTTTTCTTCTCCTTCTGAAACTCCACTTATCTGTAGGGCAGACTGACTGATATTATTTTACAGGTGTCTGAGGTTCTGTTTACTTTTCTAATATTTTTTCTCTCTGTTCTTCAGGTTGGATAATTCCTATCAATCTATCTTCTAGTTCACTGATGTCATTTCCAATTTTTTTTTCTTTTTTTGGCCACACTGTGTGGCATACTGGATCTTAGTTCCCAGACCAGGATTGAACCCCTTGCATTGAGAACACAGAGTCTTAACCACTGGACCACCAGGCAAGTCCTGTCATTTCCAATCTTTTGGTGAAGTCCAGCCAGTAAAATTTTCATTTCAATTGTTATAGTTTTAAGCTCCAGAATTTCCATTTGACTCTTTTTTTTTCCAGTTTCTCTTTCCTACTAAGTTTCCCCAACTGTTTATTAATTATGCATATCTTTTCCTTTAAGTCTTTGAACATACTTGTATTAGGTGCTTTAATGTCTTTGCATATTGCAATATCCATGTTACCTCAGATTTGTTTTCTTTCTTTCCCTCTTTCTTTCTTTCTTTCTTTCTTTCTTTCTTTCTTTCTTTCTTTCCTTCTTCCTTCCTTCCTTCCTTCCTTTCATTCTTTCTTTTTTGCCATGCTGCATGCATGGCTTGTGGGATCTCAGTTCCCTGACCAGAGATTGAACCCAGGCCACGGCAGTGAAAGCCTGGAACTCTAACCACTAGGTCACCAAGGAACTCTGTCGGATTTGTTTTCTATTGACCCTTTTCTTTGTTGAATATGGCTCATGCTTTCCTGTTACTTCACACGTGTAGTGGTTTTTAATATTTATTTATTTGGCTGCTTTGGGTCTTCACTGTGGCTTCTCTGTAGTTGTGGTGCACAGGCTCCAGAGTGCGTGGGCTCAGTAGTTGCAGAACGCAGGCTTAGTTGTCCTGCAGGATGTGTGATCTTAGTTCCCCGACCAGGGATCGAATCTGCGTCCCCTGCATTGGAAGGTGGATTTTTAACCACTGGACCACCAGGTGGTCTCTGTAGTGGTGTTTAATTGGATACTGGCATTATGCATGATATATCATAGAGACTTTGCATTGTGTTTTGTTCCTCTGAAGAGTGATTCTTGTCCCAGCAGGCAATTAAGTTGGCTGGACTCAAGCTCCAAACTCTAATCTCTGTGGTGGGCAACAGCTGAAATTTCTGCTTAGTTATTTCAAATTCCAGCTGTTGCTTTTTCACCAGGCACCCTGGGATCTCCCTTGAACATAAATAATTTAGTCAGTCAAGGATTTGGATAGATTTCATATGCAGATTTTGGAGCCCCTTCCCTGGGTTCCCTTCCTTCCACAATTCTCTCCCTTCTCACTATTTTTCTGGCTGATGTGCCAGCTCATAACTCTCTCCTCTCACACCTGAAGCCAATGAGGATGCAGCAACTGCAAAATGCTCACACCCAAAAGATGCAAACTCACAACTGTGACCTCAGGCATTTACCCTATCAAGGGTAGACTCTCCCCCAGTTTATGCTTGATTTTGATCACTCTCCAATGTCTTCAAACAGTGGATTGATTTTTAAAGTTCTGTACAGATTTTATAATTTTTTTAATCTCCAGACTGTCTCACAAAGCTACTCTGACATAATCAAAAGTCAAAGGCCACTCTTTTTTATTTTGTATTACTTTTTCCCCACAGCACTTGTAATCTTCTAAAGTTGTACATCATGGATTTATTTATTATATGCACTGTGTTTCCCATCTGACATCCCGCATTAGGGTGTAAGTCCTATGAGGGCCTATTTTGTTACATGACTCAGTTCCAGTACCCAGAGCAGTATCAGAGTGACATAATAAGCATTCAAAAAAAATATATTGAATGGAAAAATGAATGAAGGGGTCTCAGAGGGGGCCATGGGCTCTGAATAGCAGTGAAAGGTAACTTGTAGATCTGATATGTGGTCCTTCCTCTTCTAGAAAGATGAATTCTACCTCTGCTCCCAAATGCCATCCTCAGGAGATGGAGCGCCTCCACCCGCTGACCACAGTTATCATGTCTGTGTCCTTTGTGGTTGGTGTAGTGGTGAACGGGCTGGTGCTCTGGATGACTGTTCTCCGAATGCCGCGAACTTTTACTACCATCTGGTTCTTCAACCTGGTCCGTGCCGACTTCACTGTCTTACTGTCCCTGCTTATCACCATACAGAGTGTAGCAACTGGCCAGTGGCTCCTCAACGATGTGGCCTGCAAGCTTTACATGGCCTTCTTGGCCCTCAGCTTCTTTGCCAGCATCTGCCTCTTGGTCCTCATCTCTCTGGACCGTTGCATCTCTTTCTGCTACCCCGTCTGGTCCCGAAACCACTGCACTGTGCAGCAAGCAAGCTGGTTGGCTGGCTGCTGTCACTTGCTCTCCATACTTGATTTTCCAGACCACTGAAGAACAGAAAGGATGTGTCTACTGCTGCTTCGATATTGACATAGAGAATAAGGGGAAGGAGAATCCAGCTCCCAGGATAGGAAGTGAGTGGTTTTGAAGGGGAAAATGACTGTGACCATCATTCACTTCCTGCTGGGTTTCTTGGTGCCCTTGGTGATCATCAGTACCTGTGCCCACCTCATCTGCACCAAGCTCCAGCAGGAGGGCTGGGTCCATGCCAGCCAGCCAAAGAGGTTGCTGTTGGTGAGCGCCTTTTTCACTTCCTGGTTCCTGTTTAACATGGTGCTCTTGGTCCAATTGTAGCTACTGCAAAACGAACCTGACCCTAAGCTGCTGCTCATCCTCTGGGCTACCTTCTCCCTGGGCTGTTTCAACAACTGCCTCAACCCTTTCCTCTATGTCTTCATTGGCAGAGATTGCCAAGAAAAATTTTTCCAGTCTTTGCCTTTTGCCTTGGCCAGAGCATTTGGTGAGGAGGGGTTTTTCAGTCAGCCTGTCCCCAAGGTGAAGCCCCCAGGGTATGATGGAAACCTTCATGTACGAGCTGGAAATCCTCCTGCTTAGTTTGCAGCCCTTTCCCTAGGCTGACTTCCAAGACTCTGCCAAATCCTGCCTCTTTCAGGAAGTCTTCCTGGCAATCTCTTATCTAAATCTTTCCATTATAAACATCTAGTTTTCCCCCAGTATCCATCCTATCCTTCCTTTATAGTAAGACTCCTACTTGTTTTAAACTGTTCACATGGTTAGCCAAGGAAAAAAGACTACATTTCCCTGTGTCCCTTGCAACTAGATATGGCCATGTGACTACTTTCTGGCCAACAGCATGTGAGTGAAAGTAATCAGTGTAATTTCCTTGAAGTGCCCTTAATGGAAGATGCCTGCTCTCCATTCCTCCATTTCCCCCTTTCCATTGTCTAGAATGCAGATGTATCAGTTAGCTTTGCAGTGTAACAGACGTCTCCAAACTTAGAGTTTTAAAATAATAACCTTTTATGATTTCTTTGGGTCATCAACTTGGGCTGGGCTCAGCTGAGCAGTTTTCTGTTTTTGCTGGGCTTCCTCAGGCATTTGTGGTCAGTTATGGGTCAGCTAAGTGACTCTGTTTCTGGGAGGGGTTGTTGACCTTCAGCTAGGATGATGGGATTGATCAAGCCATGTAGTTCTCATCGTCCTGCAGGCTGACTGGGGCTTTTTCACATGGTGGCTGGGGAGGGTTCCAAGAGCAAGAGGGGAAAAGCATAAGACCTACACTTGACACTTTGCACAACATGACTATTTTCAAGGGGTGGGGAAATAGATTCCACCTCTCAAAGGGAAAATCTGCAAAGTTACATTGCAAAGGAACATAGATACAGGAAAGTGTGCAGAACTGGGGCCATTTTTGCAACCTGCCACAGCATTTGTGGTGATGAACTATGTGGAAAGTGACTGTGTCCCCATACTAGGGCTGGAATACTTACATCCACGCTGTGAAGAGAGAGATTTCAATTTCTAGCTCATTGAAGCAACTGTTGTTTTTTTGTGTCTCTGTTATAGCAGCTGAATTAATACCTTAACTATTATGCTGCCAACCTCCGGAACTTGTGTGAGCAACGTAATAAATATCCTTATTGTTGAAGCCATTTGGAGTCAGGTTTTCTGTTACTTGAAACCAACAGCAGCCCTACTGATACATATAATAAATACTCCTTTCTGGGAACAGAAATCCTGGTGGTCCTTGGTCACAGTGGACCATTCCCTTGGTTCTGGGTAGAGGCAAACATTTGTTTCATCCTAATCAAAAGCTATCATCCAACTTGTACATAATCTGAAGAAGGCGCTCTGGTCCTACTCTGATTAGCCCTGAGAACTTCCCACCTGGAGCCTCAGTTCTCTCGACTCTGTAAAATAAGACCAAATGCCTTCATCTTTCATGGATAAGGAGAGGACAAAATGATACAATGACTGAGTATCAGGAAGGATAGAAGCATCTTAAAAAATAAGTTAGGAAATTAGTTTATCAAAAAATAAAACTTTAAGATAATGTGGGCACAGAGTAAAAAAGAAAATGATTCTCCCCTTCCTTCCAGCTCCTCCGTTCCAACTTCTTTTCTCTAGAGACTGTTGTCAGTTTCTTGTGTATCCTTCCAGATATCCTAGGTATGCATGCATAAGCATTTTCAAATAGAACAAGTGTATACATTATCTAACATTGTGTGTGTGCATGTGTTTTATTAAAATTATGTCTTGGAGATGATTGCATATAAATACATGAGGTATGACATTATTTTTCAGTGCTGGTGGTCAAGTATTTCCTGGTCTGGATGTACTGTGCCCCAAATTATTTCATCAACCCTCTACTGATGAGCATTTAGATTTCTTTGAATATGCTTCAGTGATATTTTTGCAATTTAAAGTTATCCCATATAACCCACATTTTGAACAATACAAAAACAGAAGTGGAGGAATTGATTTATCATGAAGCGAATATCCATGCAAGTTTGCAGGTCATGGAATAGAGCACTGTCAGCCACCCTAGCACTCCTCTCCCTCCCCCTCCCAATGACTCCTCCATCTCCTTCAGAGATAACCTCTATCCTAACTTTTCTTGTAATCTTTTTCTTCTTTTTGCCTTGTCTTGTCTTTTTCCTCTCAAAATTTTCATTGGAAACATCTCAAACCTACAGTTACCAGAATAATAAAATACACCTTTCAACTAAATTTATCAAATGTTAATATTTGCCCATTCCCATATATTTTCTCTCTCTCTCTTTCTTTACTTATCTGTGTATCTCTCTCTTTTTCTCTTTAAATATACACCTATCTATCTATCTATTCTCTCCATACACACACATACATACCATGGTACATCCACCATGATGAACAGACCCATAGGGAGATGTGAGTTCTGGGAGGCTGAAGGGAGGAGCCCTCAGCACAGTCGCTGTCCCTTGATGGATGCAGTGGTCATAAGCACCTCTAGAAATTTTTGAACCTTTTGAAAATAGGTGCAGACATCATGTTACTTCATCTTAAATTCTTTAATCTGTGTCTCCTGAGAACAAGGCCATTTCTGTGCCACAACCATAATATCATTACCACCCTCAAGAACTTTAACATTGATATTATCTAATAAACAATCCAAATTCAAAATTTCCTAGTTGTCCCAATAATGAACGTATAGCATTAAAAAAAACTCAGAGTCCTGCAATGATATTCTCCCCACTTCCCAAGAATAGACTATGGGTCAGAAACACAGCACAGGTTGATTGCCAAAAGCAGAAATAATACAGGTCACATTCAAAATTAGAAATTAATAATGAAGAATAACCACAGACACTCAGCTTGTTTGGCACATTTCAAAACACTCTCTAAGTAACTCTTGGGTTAAATGGAAGAATAAAACTGGAGTGCCATTCATTTACAAATGAGCACACTACACAACAAAACTTGTGAGGTGGGGCCAAAGTTGTACTCTGAGGAAGAGCTGTAGCTTCTGATGCTAATTCGGAAAAATGCTCACATGAAAGGAGATGAGCAAAACAATTCAAGAGGCTAGAAAAAGAACAATAATGTAAGTGCACTAAAATTTGAAAGAAAGCATGGATAGATTTTTTTTTAAAGGAAAGTACTTTTACTTTTTAAAAATTTATTTATTTTTATTTATTTTTGGCTGCATTGGGTCTTCGTTGCTGCGCACAGATTTTCTTTAGCTGCGGCGAGCGGGAGGTACTCTTCACCTTGCGATGCACGGGCTTCTCATGCAGTGGCTTCTCTTGTTGTGGAGCACAGGCTCTAGGCACGTGGGCTTCCGTAGTTGTGGCATGCAGGCTCAGTAGTTGTGGCGCATGGGCTTAGTTACTCCACGGCACGTGGGATCTTCCCGGACCAGGGATCGAACCCCCATCCCCTGCATTGGCAGGCAGATTCTAAACCACTGCACCACCAGGGAAGTCCTCATGGACAGATTTTAATGAGGAAATTAACAACAACAAAAAAAGTGGATAGTATAAAGAAGCTGTTCTCTCTGTCTCTCCAACAATAGTATCCTTTTACATTTGTACCTGTGTACTTTGGTGAACACTCCAAGAAGGCAGAATGGCATGACAGCTGCTTATAGCTGGGTGACACCTGTCAAGTTGCTTTCACTCTCTATGCCTCAGTTTCCATCTAAGTGAAATGAGCTATAACAGCACCTCCCTCAAAGAGTCACTGGGATGATTACGTGTATTGATGTGGATAAAGCGTTTAGTTCGTACCTGGCACCTCGGAGGTGTGACGTATTTGCTATTATCAATCTTGTCATCTGTTAGAATAGATCTTTCTTCGGGGACTGGCAGGGTCAGGGGGCGTGTTAGATGTTGCTAGACTCCTCCACAGGGAGCTCGGAAAGGCGGTTTCCCAGAGCTTCGCCAACGCAACGCAACCGCGATGTCAGACTCTTTGATCTCCACCTTCTTAGAGGTGAATAGTGGGATCCCGGTGAGGTTTTTAATTTGCATTGATTTTCTAATGAATTTGGTTAAGTAGTCTTTCAAGGAGACTCTGGTTTTGTTTTGTTTTGTTTTTTTGCAGTAGGCGGGCCTCTCCCTGCTGTGGCCTCTCCCGTTGCGGAGCACAGGCTCCGGACACGCTGGCTCAGCGGCCATGGCTCACGGGCCCAGCCACTCCGCGGCATGTGGGATCCTCCCGGACCGGGGCACGAACCCGTGTCCCCTGCATTGGCAGGCGGACTCTCAACCACTGCGCCACCAGGGAAGCCCAACTCTGTGGTTTTCACAGCCGCTTCAGGATTCTCCTGGGGAGATTGTGGTCTTTGATTGGGGAGAGCCTCGCATGGTTGAATGGTGAGGTGGGTTTTGAGACCCAGAGAGACAGCAGCCTCTCCACGTGGCCCAGCGTGGGAATCAGCATTTCCTTGATCAGCCTCTGTGAAAGGGGTGGCGGGGGGAGGTGGACGATGCCCTAAACCTCGGATTCTTACTCTACCAACTAGGGACTGAAAATCCTTCTCTAATAAGACTTCTATGAGAATCTAAGAAGGTGATTCACCCCGTCATTCATCCCATAAGGACAGCTCACGAGTATTGATCGTGTCCTGGGCACCAGGTCCTGTCCAGAGCTTTATAAACGTGTGAACTCCACATCTCAACCCTATGAGGGCGGTAGTACGATTATGCCCACTGATGGAAGCTCAGAGAGGTAAAGTCACTTACCAAAGGTCACACAGCGAGTGAGTGGTAGTCAAGACTTGAGCAGTCTGACTGCACTAATCCATCCAATTATGTTTATTGAGTGCCTGTCAGGTGAAGGGCGTGGTTCTAGTCACTAAATATAAAAGGTGAAGGAGACAAAGACCCCCCACCTTGGAGGCACAGATATTCCTTGGGCGGGGCCAACATTACGGGGGGAGGGGCTGACGTTCTCTAGCCTTCAGGGTCCACAGCCTCCACCTCCACGTCGTACTCTGTCCCTACATAGTACTGACTGAGCACATAGTAGGTACAAATCTCTGCCATCCCCTGGGATTCAAGCGTTCCTGACAAGAACACAGCCTCTGCCCTCACGCAGCTCACAGCCTAGGAAAGACAGTCCTGAACGGTAGGACCCTACGGAAAGGTATTTACCTCCCAGGCAGGAGGGAGGCAATTAGATGCTCTTAATCACTATCTCTGTTTCTCTCAGCAAGGAGAGAGGAAAGACGGCGCCCCGAACCTGGCCTGGTTTGAGATGCTCCCAGCCGCGAGAGACAGACTGTCATCAAATGTCGGAAAATAGCTGTCATGAGACGCCTCACCCCCTGACACCTGAAACTCTCCCCCTGCGACTGCAAAGTCATAGGTTCTACTCCTGTTGACTGAGCACCCGCATACTTTCAAATTCTCACGCAGCCTTACTGGGATAGAGACTTACTTACCCGAAGTCCCAGCCGGGGTCAAGGTGTCAGGATCGGGATTCAAACTCAGCACGTTGGATGTCACGGTGAGCTGTGCTTGGATCTCCCGAGCCCCATCCTTGTTTGTGTGGAATAAAACGAAGGGAAGGCAACATGACAGCCTTACACCCTTGTCTGTGTCATTGTTTCTGGGTCCTCCATGCCTGGGACATGGACTGTAATGAATGGTGTGCTGCCCTACACCCCTCAGACTCACGCTGACCAAGACCTGGGTTTCTAGAGTGTTAAATGATTCACTCGAAAGTGGGGACCCCCCACCACATGCCTCCCCTGTGGTGGGTGATGCTGGGGACCCTGGAGGAGTAAGACCAGAACCCTGATCTCAAAGACGCTGCAGACTGGTGGCAGAGATGGACACAGACAGTGAGAACCAAGGTGGTCATGGCTGTGACAGAGCAGGTACCAGGTGTGTGGCATCCAGAGCTTTAGAGTGAAGCCGTGGGAGGTGAAATAGAGGGCTCTGATGGGTGACAGTGGAACGCCAGGCTGAGGGGCTGGGTCTTTGTCTGGGGGCACTGGGGAGCCATGGGAGGTGTGTGAGCAGGGGAGGGATAGGGTTAACCCTGGGTGTAGAAAGAATCCTCTGGGGCCCCCGTGGGGGTGGGCAGAGACCAGAAGAAGGCTGGGAGGGGGGAGGGTTCCAGGGAA